CATCTGGGCTCCAGCGACGAGGTCTGCCCCATCTGCAGGGAGGTGCCGCGTGGCTGCGCGTCGCGCATCGCCCCTGGCGGCCCCCGTGTCCACGCCGACTGCCTCGTCAGAAACAGGGGCCATCCAGCAAGGGGGCAGCAAATTTGCCCTGCCTGCCGAGGAGAAGACCATGGAGCTGCCGCGGTCCCTCCGGCCCCCCCCCCCCCCCGAAGTATTACCAGTGGCCCCGCGGCCGAGGCCTCAGGGCCAGCAGGGGCCCCCCGGGGCTGCGACCCTGCTGCCCCCCCGCTGGGCCCGCCAATCGAGATGGTTGGCAGTGGCAGTGCGCAACTCTGGTGGGTGTGCAGTCGCCGGTGGCCGCCGACTCCCCCGCCTTTCCTCCTCCCCGCTGGCCGCGCCCAGTCCTCCCCCCCAGTCTCTTCCCGCCCGACGTGGCCCGCGGGATGAGGGAGGTTCCACTAGCTATGCCTGACCGGTGGGCAGGACTCGTTGCGCGGTTCCCCCCGTGCCTGACAGGGCGCAGAGGATTGGGTTCCCGGCCGGAATGGTGGCGCCAGCGGCCAGGGGAGTGGGGGCCGCCTTGGTGGTGGCTGCGAGTGCGTGTATCGGCGCCGCCGACGCCGAGCATGCAGACGTTGCCGACGCCTTCCCTGGGCCAGTCGCGCCTGAACATTGGCGCGACATTCTGGGTGCGCGCAGGCGCGCCATCGACCGCGCCGAAGACGTTGGCCTCCCTCCCCAGTGATCCTTCTGATTGACATTGGCGCAATCCAGATAAACAGTCTCATCGGAGCCGCCTCGCGCCACTGGGCGCCGCGCGCCCTTCTCGCCCTGGCCGCGGACGGGGCGGGGCCTCGCCGGGAGGGCCAGATCCAGTCAGCATCGTGGCCTCTGCCCATCGTACATGGGGGCAGCGCGCCGCTGCCCGAGCGCAGCACCTCGCGCCCGGGGGCGCGCCGTTCGCCCGCAGTGGGGGGCCCCCGGGCAGGTTCAGCTCCTAGCTCTCCAGATTCATTCAAGCGACCGCCTCGCTATACAGTGAAAATCTGCACGAGCACAGGCAGCCCGGAGCGGGCCATCGCTGCGGCGCGGGCCTTCGATGAGATGCACGCGCGGGCGCAGCAGTTCGAACGCGCCAGCGCCCCCATCGGCGCATGGCGCCGAACCGGCGCGGCCGAGTCGGTGCATATCCTTGTGCTACCTGGGGCCCTCCCCCTCGCGAACTTCTATGCGACCGGAACTGCTGTGGCTTTCTTGCGCCAGGTAGGCGTGGCGGCCAGTGGGTCGCTCCCACTATGCGCCACGGCGCGCGTCGCTGCGCCTATCCAACGGCGCCTAAGCGAGACGCTCCCTCCAGCCATCGCCGACCGAAGTCAGCCTCGCGCCGTCGCCCCAATACGGATTTCCCTAGTTCATCGAGCGCGCCGCCCCCCGTGCCTAGCCTCCTGGAAGACCCGGGGGGGGGGCGTCGCTTGCGATGGGACATAGGCGCCCAGGGGCACGGCGACCCCCGGGCCATTATTGAAGCCGTCGAGGCCAATGTCGGACTGCGCGCAATCGGAACCTGGCACCCCGTCTGCGCGTGGTGCCCTGGCTCCGACGACTACCTGGACATGTTCCAGATCACCCTATTACCTGGTGGGGAAAGGCCCATGCGCGACGACTTTGGACTGGCTGGCGATATGCGGGTAGACAATCAGATCTCCAGAATCTTTCCCGCCACCCCTACTCAGGCACAGCGGCGGGCCCCCCCTCGCTCGACGGGGCGCTTGGGGCGCGCCTCGAAGCCGCAGCCCTGCCCGGAGTCGGCGTGGCCAGGCGGGCAGCTGAGCGGCCGCGTGTCTTCCAGACCACTAGATTTGATCGCGCGGGCTCCGTCGTTGGACGACCCGCCGCCGAACTGTCGGACCTGGCCGAATGGCCCCCCCCGCGCAGGAGGTTGCGGACTGCCCGTGGACGGATCGGGCCGGTTGGTTGTCGGGTATGCACGCGAGCCTGGCCTGTTCCAGATGGTTCTAATCGATGCGCAAGTGCCCTCCAGGCAGAGCCCGCCCCGCTCTCCAGTGAATGGGTGGACAGCCACGTCAGCGCCATGCGTGAACTGACAGCGATATCCAGAGGCCCGCTGCATGGATGCGCGCGCAGCTCGTATATGTGGCGACGCGCGGGTGGCCAGACGAAACAATCAAGCAATGGCCACCCGCGCCCTCTCCGCCCCAGGCATTCGGGTTCTGCCCGCCACGCGAGGTCCGGCCGTAATCGGTCGCCGCGACGTTGTTATTTCCCAACCTGGTCCTGCCAGACCGGCGGAGTACTGGCCCCTCGTATCCCTGCTTATTGCTGCTGCCGCGGTAGATCGTGGCCTCGGGGGCGTGAATGTGGCGCGATTTGCGAAGGTCTTCGGGGGCGCGAATGTGGCATAATTTGCACGAGATCGTGGCATCGGGGGCGCGAGTGTCGTGTAATTCGCGAAGTGTCGCAGCCTCGGGGTCGCGACCATGGTGCAATTCACGGGGGGTCGTGGCCCCAGAGATGAGAATGTTGTGTAATTCGCAGGGGCTCGTGGCCTCGGGAGCGCGAGCATGGTGTATTTTGCAGAGGATCGTGGCTTCCAGGCGCGATCACAGCGTAATTTACAAGGGATCTGGGCCTCGGGGGCGCGAGCGCAGTGTAATTTACAATGGGTTCGTGTGACACTTCATCCCTCGAGGAATTGTGAGAATGCTCCCAGGGCGCGGTGAACAATCTCGTTTGGGGCTCCCACCCCTCGCGCGGACAGTCGGGAAGCAGAAAACAGGATTGTAACAGTAGAAACTGGAAGCTGCAAGTGGAACAGGGAGCTGCAGTCTTCATTCTCGGCGCTTGGTGGCCCCGCAAGGGGACCGGCGGATTTGCGTGCAGCGCGTCCCCTGTTGCTATTCCGCCGGGGCAGTCGACCTTTTGCCCAGCCGCCGACGTAAAAAAAAGTGCGTGTGTGAGTTTGTGTGCGCGTGTGTGTGTGTGTGTGTGTGTGCGTGTGCGCCCGTAGCCACGCACGCGCCGTCCACCGCCCATGGATTTGCCTGTGCTGTCCACCACCCATGAACGCTACCGAGCGTTGGCTGTCGCGGGCGCCCGCGGTCAGCCTGGTTTTTTGAAGCGGCGGCGCTTGTCCTGCCTGTGCTTGTCTCGCGCTGCCGTCCGCTGGTTGGTCGTTTTTGTGGCGACTCGCAGCAGACTACTGTGGCGCTTCAGCTCCTGGCGTCGAGCTACGTTCCGTGGGATGCTTCGCTGTTCAACTTCTACTTTCTAATTAACACAAGCTGTTGCTTGCACTTCAACTCCTTGCGTCGAGCTGCGCTCCGTGGGACGCTTGGCCGCTGCACTTCGGTTTTGCAGTGTTTCATCTTTTCACCACTTGCATAGTCTGCACGGCCGTGGCTGGACCCTTTCATCACGGCGCGTTCGATGAAGTTCGCCCGCAATTGGCGCTTCCATCAGCCGACCGCGCCTGAGGTTTCTCTGCGCCGCCAACTTAAAACAACATGTGTGTGGGTGTGTGGGAGCCCGGCAGGCGCTTGTCCAGCGCATTCAGCTATTTCGGTCCCGCGGGGCCTCCTCTTCGCAAGAGGCCACTGGCCTGGCGCCACTGGTTCCCGATAGCGGTCCCACCATGCTGGGTGATTTCCTCGCGGGCCCCAGCCTGTACACTGCTGAGCAGCCCCGCTCCTTCGTGAGCACTGTCCCGTGCACGTGGATCCCTGTCCAGAGGGGGATTTCCCCGCGTCGCAGAGGGCCCGACGTGGTCACGCTCCCAATGCACCTTCATGGCACGCACGCCCGAGACCGCGGCCGCCCTGGGCGCCCTGGCGCCTAGCCCTTCTGGGCGCGTGTGCCCCCACTGCCGTCCCACCCGGGGCCGTGGCGGTCCCTGCCTTGGCAGCTCCCTGCTGTCGTCCAGGCGCGTCTTTGGTTCGCCTCCTGGCATTGGTCGGGGCTGGCCACACTCCGCCGTTTCGTCATGCGCCTGACCCGGTTCGAGTATTTCCCTACCGCGTCTTCTCCTGGAGGGACACGCGGGCCTCCCCCTTGTCCTTGGGTGCCCCGGCGAGCCTCTTCGGGTGCTGCCTGCGATGGCCTCCTGTCTGACGGTTGCCAGTGCCCAGGCTGGTCGACGTCGCCCTATGGTCCCCCTGGTGCCACCCGCCCCGCCGTCTACTGCAGGCGGGCCTCCCTTCCTCGCCCTGGGTACCCGTGCGCTGGGCACCCCTGCCTCTGGGCAGCTCTCCCTGCGCCCCCGCCCCTGCCTAGCCGGGCCGCCCCGTGGCCTGCCTCACCCTGTTGGTTTGCCTCCTGAACCGCACCTTGGCCCAGCCCCCTGTCCGCCACAGCTGTGTCGTCAGCCCCACGCTGTCCCTCCACCGCCGTGTCACACCCCTGCACCCGCTTCGTTCCGCCGTCTGCCTGCCGCTCCTCCACCCTGTCGGTGTGCCGCTGCCCTTCCGCGCTGCGCCTCTCTTGCCCCGCGCGCTGCGCTCCACCTCCGCCCAACACCCCTTCTCCCCATTCCCCTCGCGTCCCCGCGCGAGTGGCCCTGTCGATTCCCGACGGGCGGATCCCTGGCCCCCCCCCGCCGCGTGAGCTGGCCTAGCCGCGCGCCCGCTCCCCTTTTCGATGCTCTGCGCCGCGCCGCCGCGCGCGTGGCCGCAGCGCCAAGAAGTGTTTTTTTTGTGGTATGTGGGTCTGCATCCCTGGACGGCCCCCGAAGCCCGAAACGGGCCAAACACTTTCAAGGACATCGGACGATGAAGCCGACGAGAATCCCCGCCCAAACGTTTCATGTTCGGTCCGCTGCCGGGCTCCGTCACGCCCAGACTTTCGCAGAGAATCCAGCCAGTTGCGACGAGAAGCTGCCTGGAGGCCAAAGGAGAACGCTCGAAAGCCTCGGCTCTCGGTCTTCGATCTCCGATCCTCGACCGACGACCTCCTCTGCGCGTGGCCTCAGAGCCGCTGGGTGCCAGGAAGCAGGGCACGAGCGGAAGTCTGGCCTCCGAG